TTGCAAACTCCTACACCAGAAATCAACAATGTTACCAATGCCATTATTAATGCATCTTTAGAGCGTGGCACAACAGGGGGTGTAACCGAATCTTACCCATCAAGGTTCTCCGCATCACACATCGTTTTCATACATAAACATGCATTCTTTACTCTTTGTGCACCTATGCTGCACACCATACATAAAACATATTGTATCTTTTAAGGGAGCCTATCAGCTAGCAGAAATGACCATGGCCAGGACATAATAGACAATCAATATAATGAACTAAAGAATGGGAGGCCAAGATACACACAGACACACACACACACCCTAAAAATATTGATACAGATTGTATATATAGCACTTGCATTCGCATATTTCAACACCGTACTCTCTATTCGGATTTTGTTGTCCACTATCTTGTTTTTTGTTTGTCCGGAATTAGTTGTCCACTTTCTAAGTGCAACAAATTATAAAATTTACGATGTATTGCATAACATATATATACTAGATGCTTGTTATGAGCATTGTTGACATGGATGGGTTAAAAAAGCATCTGAAGGACTTATATGCCATTTTAAACTCATTTCATAAAAAAAGTTCTATTTTTTAGATATTAGAAACTGGATAACTAAATCCGGATGGAGGAACTATTGATCAAGATAGAGACTAGTCCCGCCAACATAGAATTCCCCTCCAAAACCCCTTGATCCAAACCGGCTGTATTAAACAATCATGTTATAGTTCCTCCAAGTTTGTTACGGCCACCTTCTCATAGACACCCACTTACACTGTTTCACACACAAGGCCTTGTCTATGAAACCTAGTACTTGAGAGTCTCTGAGAAGCTAAGGTCAGGGAAAACTTGGAGTCAAATTTTCATTTTCATGAGCTATAAGATGCTTGATAGCAGTAAGATGTTTCACATGTTCCAATTATTACATCTTCAATTCATTTATACATTCCTAAAACAAATTGGTTACAGAATGTTAAATTACTACATAAATGATTGAGAATCCATTTTTAAATCCCTCACAAATAACATCTGGCAGGTACAAAAGAATCACACAATGGTTAACAATATATGTTTAGTGCTTGTAAAATACTTGGACTTGGTTTTTATTTATTGCACAATCAATTTCTGTTCTTTTATTCATGCTCAAAGTTAAGGACGGACACTTACAGAGTTAATTTCAATCCCTAGTCATTACTCATCAGAAGAACAAGCATATGAATCAACATTGAAAAACCAGATACTACAGTAAGGAAGGAAACCTGGAAGTGCTGCCCTTGAACTGGTGAGCAATGGCATCAGCCTCCTTAAAATTTACCACTGGCGGTTGCCTATACATTTGGAGAATTTAAAACAAAAAACTTAAAAAAGATTCCATTTTTAGTCAGACTAATCGAAGAAAGATGCAAAATATAGAAGAATCTCACAGAGCAGCGGCCAAAAGGTTGATGATCCTCTCAGAATCCTCGAAGAACAGAGAAACAACCTCAATCACAAAATCTGGGTTGCTCTCATCTTGCAGGCTATGAAGCTGGGCAAATTGACCATCCAAGATCCCCTTTTTTTTCAACCCCCATAAGCAAAAAAAGGAAAGAAAATAAAAAAAAAAAAAAAACCCTTTCTCAAAATCCGACCAAGAAATTAAATTGAAAAAAAAA